CAGGCATGGGCGAGGATCCAGAGAAAAGCAACAGAAATGATTAGAGGAATGGATTGTAATGGCTATCAAGAAAGGTGAAAAGGAGTTAAGGTTTGTCAGTTTCTGAGTCAGAGGTAAAAAATATATTGGTCATCTGCCAGGTTTGATCAGCTTTGTCCAGCTTCACTAGTGTTGAAGTGTGTTTAAGTAACCATATACTTATTCAGAGGATTAAAATGTTTTCTTTCCATGTGTCCTGTTTCATTGAGAAGATGGAGATAGGAAAAAGTTAAATAATTTGCCCGGTTCCCTAGCAAGCCATGAGCTAAATTAACATTGTAAATATTAAATCCCAGGGCTGTGTGTGGGTTGTTTAATCTACCAGTCCACGCCACTTCTCTTTACAATGGATGCCCCCAAAAGACTGTAACAATGAAAGCTGGAAAAATTCTCTGCAAACTTCCTTGAGAGGAAAAATAAAATAAACTAAAAAGGAATGTCATGCCTCACTGCTGAGGTCCATATAAACATCGTCCCCTTGTGTCTCCCTAGACTGATGACACAGGAACATAGTCCATATGATAAGCTGTTAGCAGATGGCTGGATCCCTCATTGTACCCATTACCCACCAACATCACTTCCAAGCAAGAGTCATTACTAGTGCTCCAGACAACAGATGGGGATGAGGAGGTATGGCTGGTCTGAAGTCAAGGAGGGTGGAGAGACACAAAAAGCCTACTTCTTAAACTCATCAGGCTTTCTCTACAACAAATCCATCACAGAGCAAATGGAACATACTGGTGTATGTTCAGTTAGTTCCAAAAGCTGTCAAAAAAAGTTCAGGACTGTTTTGAATATGTGCCATTCTACACTTTCAGCAAGGGGGGAGAAAATAAGAAAATCAAACAGTGACCGAAAAGCACGTAAACCATATCTGGTGAAAAATCAGACTTCCAATATATTGTAAAGAAGGCAGAAAATCAAATAGCATATGGCAACCCTAAAAAAAGAATGGGACTCACTCAGTATTACTGACTAAAAACCAGTGGCTTGGGGCTCTCGGGATGATAACATCAATTATTATTTGCCAAATGTCCAGATTAAATCCAGCCGGCCTTATGCGCATATGACATCAAGGGTTAAATGGCATATGTTATGCCTTACTAAGTTCAGTGCCCAATCAGGAGTTGCTGACACAGACACATACAAAAACATCAGGAACTAGACAATTAGACAAGATATTTAAAATGGGATCTTTTTGTTAAGTTTCTAAGACAGAGACAATATATTAACTGCATACAAGGGAGGTAAACGGCCACTATTTTAAGACCACCAGTTTTACAGATAAAATCAGTCAAATTATCTGGCAATTTAACTCTTTTGCTGAGAAGCATAGATTTTAGTACTTCAATAGCTATGAGAATCTCTTCCTACTTAAGCCCCAATTCCCACTGTGGCAGCAAAGTTCTTAAGCCACGCCTGCTAACTTGGCTGGGTGATTTTTGGTAAACAGTATAATCAGTCAGTAAATTCATTTCCTGTCACCCACACCTGCCAAAATAATATCCACAAGGGGACTAGCCATGCTTGAAGAAATACTTATTGGTATAAATGGTAAACACCATTGATATTCTGCAAGGAGCTTAATGATGGTATGCTAATCTTGGTGATTACTGATCCCGAGAACCTTCAGCACCTCCGGCTTGAAATTAGGTGTGAAATGGTGCTGCTTAAATCATACAAACCTCTA